GAGCCGGATTGGCCCTTGGGACTCGATGTGGCAATGCCTTGGACAGTGCCACTGGCCATTGCCTTTTTTATTTTCTTTAGGACTTGTTGAGTTATGCCCTCAGCAGAAACTTGTCGTACTTTGACTGTGCGCTACTTGTGGAGGTCAGGCGGGCCTAGGGTCGTCAGAGCCCGAGTGGCATGGCACGCGCTTGACCTCTTGGATGAGCCGGCGCAACCTTTTGAGTTGATGTTTAGGTGTGGGTAGAACCCCTATGGTGTTGTGTACCGCTCTCCGCCGCCAAGCTTATATTGAGTAAAGAGTGGGCCGAGAAGCTTTAAGTTCGTATGTATACGGCTTTTTCTGGCATTCCATTGCTGGTAGGCGTTTAAACGTGTCTCTGTCTTGAACCAGCACACCTTGAATGTCACTTAACAAGCGTGGCCTGCCGTTTTTGTTGTGGGTTGTTTTTGCCAAGCTCATTTTGTGTGTGTATAATTGAGTTGTAGTGTTGTATCAATGCATCAGAGACATGCATTCATGTTAATGTTGCAGTATTACCCATGCATTGACAATGTTGATTCATTTAGGTTGTCATTTGCTATCCATACAATATGCACTCGCTCATACTACTGTTTTTTCCTGTTTGACAATGTGATGACAGAACACTAGCTTCATATGTTCACCAGCTTCTTGACCCTCAGCATGTGACCGTTGTCCAGGTCTTGAATGCCATCAATTTAGATGTATGGGGCCGCGTTCACTTAATGATGCATTTGGATTCGGCAAGGCATTGATCGTGTATGTTAAGGATGTACTCCCTCCGTCCCTAAATATTTGTCTTTCTAGAGATTTCAACAAGTGACTACATACGAAGCAAAATGAGTGAATCAACACTATAAAATATGTCCACATACATCCCTATGTTGTAATCCATTTGCAATGTCTAGAAAGACAAATATTTGGGAACAGAGGGAGTATTAAACTATTAATGTTCCCTCCTGAGTGTGGCTGACACGTATGGATTAGAGGACACACATGTTTTGCTCATAACCTGTGGCGGAATTTAAAATTTCACAATGCATGAACAGTAAATCACATGGTAATAGCAACGGTATTATGATTAATAACTTTCATGGAAATATTCCATTTAGGCGCTTAGAACATTAGCACTCGACAGAATCAAGAATGGCAAACTGCTAGAGCTAGTGTTAGCTAATTATTTCGCCCTGGATACATCTGCACAGTCGACTCTACGACATGAACCTCAACTTATATTGACTAGTGGGAGTAGAGGGACTTCATTGCCATGGGCGTCGCTAAAGATGCTAAAGACCTGCTCCGGGACATTTATGAACACATGAACGACACTACATCTACATATGAACTGATGCTACGGCTACAATAAAATAATGGTGTTGGAGGAGATTATGGAGATAAAATACTGATGCTACGGCGTAGAGAACTGAGAGATAAAAAGAAAGGATGAGGAATATGAACTGCAGTATTGCTACGACTCTACATCTACATTTTTTTCGAAAAGAAGCCCTGTATCTCCATGGAGGAGTTCTAGCTAGCTATGCACATGAACAGAATGCATGAACTAGAGAAGGAGGATGAGCAGAATGCATGAACTGGAGGAGGAGGATGAGTGAGAGAGAAGCTGCTTGATGGAAAAAGGATGGGGAGAAAATGCAGAAGGTGGTGCATGCTGCTGCTTAGCTCCTCTAAAACAATAATGTGGGATCAGTACAATTATTGTGTGATGGGGCATACATACTTATTGTGTGGTGGGGCATTCTCACTTATTGACCGTGTTAGAATATGGACTATACAACATTGATACACTGCCAAGAAATCAATATACATGGCCCGTTGTACAAATACTGCACTGATCTTTGTGCAGCGGATGGATGAGATACCATCCTCGCGTGGTTGCATGTCCACCCGTGATTTATCGCTTTTGGTGATCGTTTGGAAGAATCTGTAAGTTTTAGTGACCATTTTAAATCTGGTAGACTTCATTCATTTAATCAGCCTGACACTATAATTTTTAGTAACCATTATAAATCTGTTCCCTTCGTCCAAACTAGACGAGCATTTTCGCATTCAAAATTTCCAATGTGATGATCTGACTGGATCATGCATTTCCTGACAAGAAAGAAAGGGCACAGATGCAGGATTTACTTACTCTGCTTTATACTTTTAAATAAAGATAAATATTGGACCTACAAAATGGGAGGGGGCAGAAATAAACAGGGCCCTGTGTGCACATCCCCATCTCCCTTTTTCTTCCTACTATACCCCTCCTGAGGTAACAAGAAACTAAATTGGAGGGGGAAACAAAACAGCTTAACCATTGTCTTTCAACAATAGACGACATGACGTCAACGAGATTGACCCTTCCTTCAGAAAAAAGGTAGGCTTCCGAGCCATATGTTAATCATCAGTGAAGAATACCCAGCATCTTCTTCCATCTCCAGTTGAAAGATCCATCTGAACGTCTTGCCTAGATTCCTCTAGTTCAACCATCCCAAGCTTCTGCTGCCCGTTGTCTAATCATTTCGTTAACAGCAGCCCTCTCCTGGATTCGGACTGCTGGTGCAACCTTCTAAGATGGTCTTTCAAATCCCTGTGTAGTTTCCAGAAGTGGTGGTCAGGTGTTACTCCAGATTGCAATACTATATGCGTATGCAGAAGAGAGGTGGAGGTAGCATGACAAATGATAGACGCGCCAACCCACCTGCACCTTGGCATACTGCATCCTGAATCTCTGCAAGCTTGGGCATGGAACTGAATCATGTACCACATTTTTTTGCGCAGGGCACACCCTCCTGAAGCACGCCTTTTGCACTGCTTCCCATGCAGAAATAGTTCCTTGACCTTAAGGCAGTTAGGAAATTGGCAGCTAGATGAGCGGCACGTCGAGGCATGTACCAGAAGATCGAGCATTATTTTCCTTGGCTGCAAGATCATTATAAAAAGAAAATTGCAATGTGATACTATTAAGCAAATGGATTGTATATAGTGGAACACATAACTATTGAGTCCCTCCACACCAAAAAAACTGCAAATTGAAGATGTCTTTGCACAATAACTACTTCACAAATTGCAACCGCAAAAATAAAAGATGCACTTGTTGATTATTTCCACAATATTGTACATCACCTGATCGTAAACAAAGAGTATATATTGAATGTTTGAGAATGCTGAAAGAATGCTTATGCCTAAGCTGCAAACTGAAGCCATCTTTGCACAATAACTACTTTACAAATTGCAGCCTCAAAAATCAAAGATGCACACGTTGATTGTTTCCACAATATTGTGTATCCCCTGATCATAAAACACAGAGTTTATGTTGAACGTTTGAGAACTCTGAAAGAGTGCTTAATTATGCCTTTCAATTTGTGAAGCTCCATCTTAAGTTAATTGCAATGACTGGATGCTAGCCTATTACATACAAATATTGAAGAATAATTGGACAGAATCACAATGGGCAGGCAGATCATGGTTCCATTTCCCAATTAGGGATGATACGGACCTATATAGCAATGGCACAAACTGGCCAATGCTGATCATATTCAGATCTATCCTGATAATTTGATGCATCCTTCAAGTACCTGTCTCAATAAGTGAAACTGACTGTATACTACCTTATCTAAAACTTAATAACCCAATTTATGCAACAAGATACCATTATTTACCATAGATTTAGGGAAAAAAAGTATTTAAGTTTGACAGCTATCAAGTTTCTGACTATGAAGCACCACAGTTTTTTTGGCGCCTCCTTTTTTTTATTAGAATAAGCGGAAAAACACGACTTCAGCAATGGCAGGTCAGGAACAAATTATTAGTGCGAACCACATCTAGAAGAGCTTACCTGCTGAACACGCATTTGCGGGGCGTCCTTGTTTTTTGCATCATGGTCGGCAGCAGATGGATGGTTTGCCAACTTCTGAGGATGATGTTGTGCAAGCTGCTGCTGCGTGCGCGCTCTGCTTGCCGCTGCTGCGTGCGCATGTTGCCGGCCGCCGCTGCTGCTTGCCCCTTTGCTGCCGGCTGGGAAGCTCTGTGGCCACCAGCTCGCGCCCGAAACCGCCGGGAGGCTCGGTGGCATCGCCATGGCCTCCATCCCACATCCGAGCAGCCGTATGGGAGAAGCCGGTCGGAGGCTCGCGCCATCTCGCAGGCCAGCAGCAGGTGCTGCCTGAGCCCAACGCCACCTGCCATGGCCGCCATCTCCTTGGGTGCCTGAGCGCCTCGCCATGGTCGCCGCAAAGCTCCTCCTCAAGGCGCTGCGTCGGAGCTCCTCAACCACGCCGGCAGCAAAGGGCGACCATGGCGACTTTGGTGGCTGCTTTTAATTGGCGAGAAGGCTCTTATTAGCTAACGATGGATGGTGATCTGTAAATCAAATACTCCTACATACATAGTTATATCAGCTTTCACTCGTCATCCTGCAAGTAGCTGCAGGGGTGGACGTACACACGTTACTGGTTCGGAAATGCACTAGCCGTTTCCCTCAGCAGGACAAGAAGAACAAGTCTGATGGCCAAAACCCTTAGTTGATGCTTCACAATCATCCTGTATTTTTTGAGCCTGGTTTAATTTGTTGAGTGTTAGGTAGAACCAACCTATCTAAACTATATCTATGGATTTGTTTTTCCTATTTATTGGGACAAATATGTCAATATATTCATATTCATGGAGATAATCAACATGGCTGGCTAAATCAACGTGGTAGGGCGACAGCGAATGGTGAGACTTTGGCTATCAAAGTGGCGTTACTTGTTTAATATGAACCCGTGTTTATCGGCAAGGAAATACAATTGTGTGGCTGTGGTGAGGCAACATGCACAATCATCCGTTCAACTTGTCCTTTTACCGCATCAATTACATACACAAATAGTCATCCAACTAGCATCAAATTTGTATGCGCACACAAGGTTTGCCAATATATTTGATCATTGGTTGGACAGTATTCCAAATAGTGTCAAAACGCTAACAAGGGTGGGAGCGTATGACTTACTTTGGTCACTTTGGAATTGTAGAAATTATTTTAATGACAAATATGCTTCTGTTCTGCAGGTTATTTTTCGTTGTCCGCACTTGCTTTGTACGTGGTCTACGCTACAATGACCGGAGCACCAAAGTAGTTCAAGGCGGTGTGTACATGATTGAAGTAGACGGCTACGACTACGGAGGTTTTTTCCCAACATGGGCGGTAGCATAACCTACGGATCGACCCTCCGCCGCTTTTGACATGGGCATAGTGTTGGTCTATAGGACTTTATTGTTGCCGATTTGTTGGTTTTGTTACATTTTCTATTGTCGAATTTTTGGTACTTTTTTTTTGGATGAAAGGGAGTTTTATTCATCACTTAAGAGCATAATCAGTCTTACATAGATCAGGGACAGTGCCTGGCCCTGGCCCCAGCCATACAACCGTGCGATATTCAGTTCTACCAAAGCTAGCTAGATAATGACTGATGCTATTCTGCTCCCTACAGATATAAGCTAGCTTAACTACTCTCCCTTCCGACATAAGCCTCCTGATCTGATCAACCAGCATGGAGTAACGGGATCGATCTCTGTCCATTGTTGTGATAATCTTAAGAGCAACACGTCAGTCTATCTCCACTTCAATAGGTAGCTGCGTCCACTGCAAGGCAAGGTTCAAACCCTCCATGCAGGATAGAAGTTTGGCTTCTAAAGGTTCTGCACATGCTCTCAGCTCTCTGCATGATGAGAAAATGATCTTACCCAAACTGTCCCGCGGAATCATTCCGGTGCCGGCCGTTCCGGTGGAGGCTCAGAACGATCCGTCGACATTGAGTTTAGTCCACCCATCCGCTGGAGGAGACCATCGTGATCGCGCCTCGTCCGCAACCCGAGCATGTGGTACAGGCTTGCTGGGCGTCACCACATCAACCACTTGTCTGCCTTTCGTCGGGTCTGCACTCGGGTTGTTTTGGATGCCCACAAGCGAATCAACGTAGCTGAGAAAGAACCTCTTGGACGCTTCGACCGGAGGAGGCTGCTTATGATGCATCATTTCATTGCGTGCGTACCAGCAGCGCCAAAGGGTCATCATGAGTTCCATCCTCTCCGTGTCAGGCAGGTCACAAAGAGTTTGGGAGAGCCACTCCGTGCCCGTCCGATGGAATGCCGTAGCAGTAGGAATTCGCCATTGCTCTACCATCGCTTGCCAAAGGGCCACCGCCCTAGGACATCTGCAAAAGTCATGAAATGTATCCCCGGCTCCACCGCACAGAGAGGGCATTGGTCAGAAACTTCCAATCCTCGCCCTTTTTTATTAACCCAAGTGGGCAAGCAGTCCGTGATCAAGCGCCAAGTAAAAGTGCGAACCGTAGGAGGAGCAGGGCACCTCCAAATAAAAGCCTAGACGGGTGTTACTCGTAATATTTTCTACTAGCATGATGCTACATTTGAGATAATAAAATCGCCCTTTATCTAAAAAATTACATACACAAAAATGGAACTGGTGTCTGGAGTCTTGAGTTTCTGCACCCGCGGACTCTGTTTGGGCTGACGACGGTATGGGCTCCAACTTGAAGGGATACATGCAAAGGATTACATAACCACCGGTTTAGAAATGAATCATTTCAAATGAACAAGTTGTTTTCGTCAGAATAACAAGTCACGTCTCAACTCTGTTTGTGGATACAACTTCATAGTTCATACAACCTTCCTTGGATAGTTCAGTTTGTGGCACTTACATTATTGGTTCATAATTGGACAAGTTGCTTCTGTCAGAAGAACAAGTCCTGCCTGTTCTAGAAGTGGCCTTCCCGGATGACTAAGTTTTTTTACCGGAACCGGTATGTACCAGTGGAGAATCCATCGTTCGTTAAATTCATCAAGATTGGTGCAGCTGGTTAGGTATAAACAAGGGAATCCTTTCCAACAACAATACTCGAGAATACATCCTGCATGTCAGCTTTTTGCCAGAGAAGAGAGAGAGAGAGAGAGAGTGACTGCACATGCATGCATTATTTTCCATACAACATTTTAAAAGCTTGATAACTTTTGAACTAAATATCCAGTTTTGAAATATTTTATTTTTTTGAATTCAGGGCGGCAAGACCTTTAAAACAAGATCAATCTTGGATGCACTTGGCTAGTTTGAATTTTACCGTTTCACTCATTTCAGAGAAAGCATTTCAGTCAACTTCACATTTCACTAGTTCCGGAAAATCTTCCAGTCAATTTCACATTTCACTAGATTCAGAAAACACATTGTAATCATTTACAAAAGATATATTTCACTCATTTTAGAAAACACATTACACTCATTTATGAAAGACAAATATTACACTCATTTACGAAAGACAGATTTCGTTCATTTAGAAAACACATTACACTCACTCCATTGAAAAAACTATGTTTCACTTGTTTCAAAAAACCTTGTTCACTCATTACAAAAGATATATTTCAAAACTAATTTCACCGCACGCTTGCGAAACTCATATTTCACTGCTATAAAAATTGATTTCAATCATTTCGATAAATATATTTTATCACATTTTATAAAATAGGTTTATTTCACATATTTCTTACGAAATAGGTTTTGTTCATGCTATTTCTTTTGAAATAGGTTTCCTTTGAATATTTGTTTAGTCATCCTCACAAATTTGATTTTTCAGTTTCAGTAAACTTATTTCACTAAAAAAACACATTTCACTCATTTCAGAAAATATATTACACTCATTCAATTGAAATACTGTATTTCACTCATTTTGAAAAATGTTTTTCATTCATTACAAAAGATATATTACAAATTAATTTCATTGTGCGCTTGCAGAACTGATATTTTACTCATATAAAAATTGATTTCAATCATTTCAATAAACATATTTCACTCGTTCAAATATATTTCAGAAAACTGATTTCACTTATTTGAAACGTTGAAATTTAAACATGTTTGAATGTATTCAAGATTGATCCCGTTCTAAAGGTCTTGACGCCAAGAGTTCAAATATATAAAAGAATTCAAAAACGAAATTATGATTTATAAGATATGAATGGTCTATAATATCATAGGAAAATTAAAGTGTGTACGTTCTTTGGGAGAGAGAATCTGTCTTAAATGTGCATGCACCTGTGCACAAACAGTGGTGGGCCAGCTGATAGTGATGTTTTAATGCCAATATACAGAAGGGTCAATACACTACTATACAATTGATGGGGACCTCTTATTACACGAATCACAAAGCAGACCGACGGCGGATGTTTTGCCGGTAGATACCGGCTCCGATAAAAAGGACTTTCTGCCTTCCCGGATGCTTCATCTGCAAAACCATGCTATTGTTTTTAGTTCGTTTTTCGTAGATCGATAGTTGCAACAAACTTATGTTAATCACTTAAACAGTTAAACCTTATATATATAGATTTGTTTTGAACGGTGACTCTGGCAGCTGCTTTTGATTCCTAACGATGGGCAGCTGCAAATTAGTTATGCACCATATTTATGTGAACCTTCATTCGTCGTGCTGCTACTTGCAGGGTAGATGGAGATGCTATTGGCTGGAAATGCACAAGTTGTATCTGTCAGCAGAATGAGTCCTTTGTCAACTCTGCTGTCCACAAAACCTTTTGATGCCTCACAACCATGCATGTAGAGTTCTCATTACCACAACAAGCCGATGTATGCAATTTTTCAGATGGAGACTGGATACATCGATCAAAAATATGCCAGATATTTTTTTTAGGACACTGGCAAAGGCAAGATGGAAATCAAGCTAGTTAAGGTAAGCATTGCAGGCACCGTCGCCCTCCTTTGCCGACACGGGGGCACCCTAGCCGCCGCCGCCCTCCACTGCATCGCCGCTGCCGGAGGGCTGGCCGGCGAAGCCGTGCCAGACCCCAGGAAGACGGCGGCGGGGGGTAGATCTTGCCCCTCGCGTGCTCCTCCACCGCACCTCCGCATCACGCCCCCACCCCCCTTGTCCCCCTCGGCGGATGCCTCTGCCGTTCCGCAGGGTTGCGGGTGCCGCGCGGCCTACTTGGGGATCCTCACCTCCCTGCCAGGAGCAGCAGCCGGCCGCGGGTGTCGTCGCCGCAGGGGTTTGGTGGCCGCCGCATCATGTGCCAACACCTTCGAGGCGGCCCTGTGGGAGGTTGCTATCAAGAGATCGGCGTGTTGGACAAGATCATAGCAAACATTTGGGACGTCCTACACGTGGTGCGGTGGTTCGACGTGTTCAGCGTCAGAGACAAAATACTGCGCTCACATACACAAAAATA